AATCAGCGTGTTAAGGTGATGTTGGATAAGAAATAGACTAAAGCTTTCACTAGTCCTAGTTTGGAAGACATTCTAGGAATACGGAGCACTTGACCGAGAATTAACTTTAGGGGTGTTCATTGTCTTCTTATACATGAGTTCACTGTGCACAACTTGTGAAAAACATTGGTTCCATTCCATTTCCTCCCCTGATGCTTATTATGCTGACAACTAAGGAAGCTTAAAGATGACCCGTGATAACCCACACCTGTATTCCAGCCTGTGGAAGAAAAACTATCGACCCGCCCACCTGGGAGGACTGCCTGCTACTCATTTTGGATGCTATAGAAGTTCCTGATCATTCCCAGGTGCTCACCTGGTTTCCTGCTTCTAGAGAACTCTTCCGTTGGTTGCAAGTCACGCGTTCTTATAAAAGTTATCTTGATTTTTTTAAAAATGTAACACCATTTTCTTTTAAGACGCATGCTTGTTTTATGCACAGGATCTTTCCAAATCCCGTGCTCGGTTGACTCATGCAATGTATAATGGCCAGTTTTCACCAGGATTGCAGGGTGAGATGATCTCTTACTTATTGAGAGAAGGAAGTAAGGAGGTGAAGGTGGCTCTGATTTTATGAGAAAAGCTACTGAGAGACCTTTAAAAACACTATTTCTAGCAGGAAGACGTGTTCCGAGTTGCGGGTAACTTCATTTTGGGGTTTATAGCTTGTCTACGTTTAGATTGAAACCCCTGGCTGCTGCAAATAGTGAATGTGCTGCTAACTTAAAGGTTGGAGGTAAAAGACCATGCAGTGGTATCTTAGAAGAAAGGCTTGGTAATCTGTTTCCAAAATATCAGACATTCAAAGGCCCAAGACGCACAACTCAAGCCTGACACACATAGGACTGCCATGAGTAGGAATTGCTATGAGAGCTACTTAAAAAAATGTTTTTTAAGATTCAGTCCTATAAAAGCTACTATGAAATGCTACATAAAGCTGTAGAAAACAGTACCAACACTGCGCCAGGCACTAAGTCCCAGTGATAAATCTACTTTAGAGTTGTACACCATCAATCCTCATGGGTCCAGAAACATGATGCCACACTGTTTTGTGCCTTCTTTACAGGCTGCCCTCTCATTCTGCTTATTGCTCTCATTTGTTTTGGGCAGGGAATATACAGAATACCTGGAGTCTCTCAGTTCTAGCTCATTTCTCAGAAGACAGGAGGAGGCTAAAGAAAAATCAGTCAATTAAGTCAACGTTTATTTAGGCATTTGTAACCTAAGACATTTCCATCCTACAATTTGAGAACTCCAGTACTTAGAGCAGGCGTCCTCAAACTATGACCCGTGGCCCACATGCAGCCCACCGATGGCATTTATCTGGCCTGCCGGGTGTTTTTTTACTTCAAAATAAGATATGTGCAGTGTGTATAGAAATTTGTTAATAGTTTTTTTTTTTTAACTATAGTCTGGCCCTCCAACGGGTCTGAGGGACAGTGAACTGGCCCCCTGTTTAAAACGTTTGAGGACCCCTGACTTAGAGAAATAGAGCAATGAACACAGAGAGCCCTTTGAGTAATCACCTAGTACTAGACACTGTACAACAGGTGTGGTGACAGGAGGAGGGAAGAGGAGGAGGCTCAGCAGGCTATGTGAAAGAATTTTAACAAGAATGGTATAATTTACCTTTAAAATAGAGCCAAGAGGTGATTTCCTGCCAATATTTAGAAAAAAAAAATTAAGATTTTCTTTTCTATCATTTTTCAGCCAGTAATTAATACACATTTTCCTCCTGTCATCATTGAGATCCAAGGAAAATCTAGAGATAACAGTGTATAAGTATATTGGCTAAAAAAAAGTATATTGGCTTAATTTTGGATAATTACATATTACTACTGAAAATATTCTTTGAAGGAGATCAATTTAATAATAATAATAAAAACCACCATTCCTGGCAGGTATAGGACACATATGAATAATAGCTAATACCATTCCAACATTTCTGAAAAATGCCAACTACAAGAATTTAAAAATAATTACTATACAATCCTGTTTAATAAGTAGTCTACTTAAATCAGATTATAAAATTAATGTTCACTTTGGATGAGGCAAGGTAAATGATTTCTAACGAAAGCTGCCCCTGCAATTATTATATTAGAATAATTAATATGAAAAAAGTATAGACAAATCTTAGTAAATAGCAAAATATTTCCAAGACAAATTTTTTATAAAAAAATAAGGAAGGAGGTGGGCACATTTAAGATAAATATTTAATAACTATTGTGATGGAACTCTAATAGTGTTGGCTTCAGGGAATAACAGATACTTTGAGTGAGGCTTTTTGAAAGTCATGAGTCAATTCTTCAGTTATTTGAACTGTTCTACTTGAAAACAAAAACGTATGGTTGAATGTATAAAAGAGCAATTAATACAGGTCATTTTAAAGAGCAAAGGAAGCATCAAATGAGATTTCTGAAGTTACATTCTCACTTCCAGGATCGTGTAGAATATGCACTTTTCAACTGTCCAATTAAAAAAAGAAAGACCAAACACAAAGTGCAAAGGCCTCTCCCTGCGGTCCTGCCTGTGATCCCCCCTGGAGTCCATCTTGCCAGGTCCAAAACCACCTGTGTCCCCACCGCCCCGGCCCCCTCGGAAGCCCCCTCGGTCGCCACCACGGCCTCGGTAGCCGCCCCGATCATAGCCGCCTCTGCCACCTCGACGGTCATCTCCGTAGTTACCCCC